TGCCGGGCGGCTCGGGGCGCTCGGTGACGGCGGGGTTTAAGATGCTCCGGTCGCCTCTCCTGCAGAGCGGCGCGGGTGGCCTCTCCCGCTCCGGGGGTAGCCGTCAGTAACGGGGGAGGGAGCGGGAAAGCTGTTTTTTCTAACCAGTCTTTCTAACGCGTTCTACAGCTTATCTCTATCCCCTGAGCTGAAAAAAAAATCATCAGAAAACTGAAGAAAGTAATAATTTCCCACTTTTCTTTAAAGAACCGGGAGTAGCTCTTCCCCGGTGCCCGTAGGTAACGCTAGGTGGGGCAGCGAGCACGATGTAAATCCTTCTGAACAAGTTTCTTTGAAAGGAGTAACAGCAAACACACTTGATCAGCGCTTCAATTTGACACGTGTAATTTTGTGCATGCTATTGGTATCCCAAGAGGTTGTGCGGTTTTATTTGAGCTATAAAAGTCTGATCTAATAAAATGTGTTCTCCCCCTACAAATCTGGACTTGCTTATGTACAAATTAGAACTGCTTTTTGTACAGATTTGTGTATGAGGCTGACATGGTGGACTGCGGTAGAGTGTCTAGGCTCAATTGGCAACACAAAGAAATTGTTGATGGTAGCATAGCTCTCTGGGCAAACTTATTTATCATGCTTTTTTTTGTGGGGTAGCCTGATTTGTGTTATGCTACGTGATGCCAAGCTGGACTACACCTGCAGCAGAATGGGCAACATAGAGGGGGCTTAGAACAGTGCCCCAGTTGTGTGAAAGCTGATCATTCATGCCTGCACTCTGATACAGGTCTGAAGGCTTCACTGTTCTTTGTATCAGAAGATTATCTTTCTTTGTACTGGCTAACAGTTTTAACTTAAGGAAACTTGTGAAGTGTAAAAATGTCATTACCTGCTAATCTGTAAGTTTATTTGAGTTTAAATTAAAATGCTTTTGAAAGCATAAACATTCATTTTTAATAACTAGATGTTTTGAACTTATTTTGAGCGTAAAATCCCTAAAATATTTGTTACAGATGTGACAGCTGAGGCAGTAGGTGTAGCTATTGCTGCACCTCCATCAGAAGGGGAGGCAAATGCAGAGCTGTGTCGCTACCTCTCTAAGGTGCTAGAAGTGAAGAAGAGTGAAGTTGTTTTAGAGAAGGTACTTCCTTTTTTTTTTCCTTTCAGTCTTGCCCTACTGCAATTTAAATTCAAGATTTTTGAAATTTACTCATTGAGTACAGGGAGCTGCTCTCCAAGTTCAGTCCAAAAGACACTTTAAAGGTGTTTAGTTGAGTTAATGGAATGACTCATTGAGAACAAACCTAGTGTAGGAAGAACCACAGCTGATCTTGAGATCTTTAATCAGAATAGTTCTCATCATGATATATTTTCCAAATTTGTGTGGTTCATGTTTTCATGTTCTTCAAAGATTCTCTTGTTTTCGTGTCAAATGCGGTTCACAAAATTTGTGCTTTGAAGAGAATGTGCATTTTATTAATAATTTTTCATTCATTTTTTTGAGGTAACTTCTGTATTTGAGTGAAAATTTTCTGACAATTAACTGTCACACATAAGCAAGAGCATATATAAGCACTTGGATTATAGCTGGGCGTCAAGAGTTTCTTTGTATTAGAGTTTACATGTCTTGACTTTGGCGAGCGGAAACTCTTTGTTTTATTCATTGCACTGAATAAATAATTTGTTTTATTAATTTATTGTGCTTAAAGTCAGTCTTTACAGCCATGTTTATTTATAGTTTATGAACATAAGAGCACAATGAAAAATTGTGCTTTTAATTTTTGTCTGTTGGCTTAATGTAGTAGTTGTAGAAGCCAGTTAAAGGATAGTGGTGAATGGCAACGTGATCAATGAATTGACCACTGTGTTGCCAAAAGGTAGAGATGTTAAGATTTGAGTCTTGGTTTTCCTGAATCATGGGCAAACTGCTTAATTTGTTTATCAACATTTTACAGATAACACTGTTTTGCTGCCTTGAAGGGATGTTCAGGTTTAACTATATTATTCTAATAAGTCCTAAGCAGAGTTGAACATAAAAGGGGCCAGTGTTGTCTGACCTTCTTGACTCAGTTGTTCTCACCTATGGTGTCCAAATAATTACATGCTAGTGTTTGTTTTTCACAAGCCACTGTTTGTTCTCAGTGAAGCATTGTGGTAAAGTCTGTATTTTACCTGTGGCTTAGATTTTTCCATCCTGATCTGCTAGGTATAAACAGCAAGTGATTTTTGGTACTGATTGTTCTCTAAGGTGCTACTTGCTTTATGGTAAGTGATAACATTAACAAAACCAACCCAAATCGGGAAATTGGTGGGAAATGATCCAGTATAAAACTGGGGTTACCAGATTTCTATGCAAGGGCCTTGATTTTCATCATCAGCTGGCTAGACTGCTTCAAAAATCTATTTTTAATTTTAATTTCATGCTATGTTTCTGTATAGTAGAGTTAAGGACTTTCTCCTGCTTCAGGGTGTCCCTTGTGGGCTTTTCAAACTTTTTGCCAGGCTGCAGATTAACAAGCAAGTTGTTTCTCATGGCTTACTGAATATTAGCAAAGTTGTGTCTTCAGGCAACATGAAATGAGGTTGCAGATTTGCCAGTTCCTGTGTAAAATAGCCTTTTTCTCAGTAACACAAAAACAGGTCAATAATATTTCAAATAACTGCAGTATGAATCTGAATGAATGTCTTATAGGTTATATACAATGTGATTTCTTGTCATTTAATTGATATTATCAACCTGAGAACTCAGCTTAAGAGTAACTAATACTCTGTGGGAGACAACTTTGAAGAAAGATCTGAAAGTATACAGTTATCAAATATACATATATATATATATACACACACACATACCCACTTTTTAAAAATAAAATGCAGATTAGATGGAGTCTTGCTTCTAGATGATACAAGTGAATTATGGAAACTTATCACTCCTTGCTTTTTGTTCTAGCCTATAAAAAGAGCATCAATTCAGGGCATGCCCTGGGAGCTGTATCCAATTTTAAAAGGAAAGTAGATAAGACATTGTTTTCCACCTTTCAAATAACTAGAAAGGACATTGATGAACTATCTCTTACTGCTGTTAATTCTGCATATCCACACTTTAAGAACTATTTTTAAAGTACCTGTTATGTTGGCATTACAGTGAGTTTTTGTGGAATGTGTATTTGATGGTGATTCTCTGAAAGATTTTTTTTGTGTGTGTCTAAACCAGGGTGGTAAATCACGTGAAAAAGTGGTGAAGATTTTGGTATCGATGACACCAGATGAGATTTTAGAAAAACTGAAAAAAGAAGCTTCCAATTGACCTAAAACAAAAGCGGGAAATGGGACAATACATCTTGGTAAATGGACAGATATTCTTTCTTATGTAAATCTAGTCCTGTTGAGGATGTGGGTAATGACTAG